GCCAGGGAAGTTAAGCAGGCCATTATGGTGCCTCTGGATACGTGAGGCACAAGGACAGGAATGTTGGGGAAGAAACAGAAGAGTGACAGGCAGAGAATGAAAAATTGGACATAGACGAAAAACTGCACGTGGCTGGGCTGGAATCCTGACAAATTATCTTGACTGTCACTCTGAGGCGTTTGTGTTAGGGTTGCCCGTCACAGCATGAAGCTGTCCTTTTCCTCATCAAACCTCATGTGCTTCTCTGGGACTGGAGTTTGAAAAACCTTATGCTCCTTAAACTATGAAGGCCCTAGCTTTGTTCGGTAAACAGGGTGACTGACTTTCTTGCCTTCTAGACCAATAACAATGATAGCACCTTTTCTGTAGGAGAGGAAGGAAACTAAATTTGGTGAAATGCATATTTCCATTCTCAAAAGAACATCAAGATTTTCTCATATTGATTTTCAGAGGTCTATTGCCAAGCTCTTAACAACTGTGTGATTCTGTCATAATTCCATCAACAACAGACTGAGGAGGACCATGGCTGCTATGGTCACAGCCAGCACAGTAATGGACTCATAAAAATCCTTAAAAAGAATTTGGGGGTGAGGGGTGCAGTGGCTCACACTTGTAATCTTAGCACTCTGGGAGGCCAAGGTGGGTGGATTGCCTAAGCTCAGGAGCTTGAGACTAGTGTGAGCAAGGCATTTGAGACCACTCTGAGCAAGAGCTAGGGTGGTCCCCCATCTCTACTAGAAATAGAAAAACTAGCCAGTCATTATGGTGGGTGCCTATAGTTCCAGCCACTGGGGATCTCTTGCACCCAAGAGTTTGAGGTTGCTGTGAGCTGTGATGCGACAGCATTCTACCCAGGGCAACAGAGTGAGACTCTGTCTCAAAAAAAAAAAAAAAAAAAAAATCCAATAAAAGATAATGTGTCTGCAAGATAGACCAATATACACGGAGCCATGGCTTTATTGCTATAACTTATATCTTGGATGCCAGAGGCTATTGCTAGGGTAATTAATTATCCATTATTCAGAGAAATCTTAGTTGCCGAGATTTGTCTATGCAAACCACTTGATAGATTTAAATTTGAAAAGCCTGGCGAAAACACTGACCAGTCTTCTCAAGGGAAAAATATCAGTCAGTTGATGTTGACCTACAGGGGCAGTTTTAAGTAAACATATTTGCAATCAAACAGTATTAAATGAACATTCGGAATTATTAATTACTCACAGCTAAAAAACAAATTTCACAAAACACAGATAATTCCACGTTCTCCTCTCAAACACATTTTATTTGTATTCTGCTCTAACAAATATAGTATGAAGGCAACGGTTGTTTAAGTTTTTAGTGTATGGCACAGATGAAAAGAAACAAACAGATTTAGAAGCAGTCCAGCATTTAAATGCTGGTTTAACAAAAGAGGCACGTATTATCCTATTTAGCAGTTTATACCAGATATCAGAAGACATTTTTTCCTCGCAAGCAACAGAGTACATTTATTTGCATTAAGTAAAAACATATCTTGATCAAGAAAATTACTTTTTTTCTGATTTTCCTTTATATCACAAATGTCAGGGTAAGGCAAATCCTTAATGAATCATATGATAAAAACCCTATTCCCCAAGAAAATATATTGAACGTATTCTGCTAACTTTGTTATTTTTCAAAGCAAAGCCGACATGCGCCACACACAGAGAAATGTCTTTTCAAATCAAGTGCATCAGGCAGAACTGTATTAATTCACAAAGAGGCTTTTCAGTGTTTCAGAGAAAGATTTACAATTAGCTGCGGTGATTAATATGTGACCCAGTATCACAGACAGTGATTCAGATGCCTTCTTTGTAAGCTTTTATGAAAGAAGATTTGTCCATCATCTGAATAGTTACCAGCCAGAGGAGAAGCCCTTTGTGACTCCTACAGTGGGGACCTTTTTAATTAGAACTATTATGTCAAAGGCCTACTCCGATCCTCTGTATGCAAACACAACTCATACAGAGCTATTTTCCTCCCTCCCTCTTATAACCCTTCGTGCCACATAAACCTGGTTGAAATATGGTTGGGAATTGACATCAGAATTTATGTGCAGAAGAATCAATGAACTTTTTGAATCTATTTCATTCTACCATCTGTGCAACCACTAACAAAGAAAAGTTTCCTGTGCTGAGGTGTCTTTGATCTGGCCAACAATTAGACTTCTAATATTTCCCTATTGAACAGGAAATTAACTTTATTTTAAAGCATAAAATTGTATAGCCAAATAGCAATCAAAAAGCATAATGAAGAGAAAATGAAAACATGATTTAATTATAAAACGAGGTTTAAACAAACTCATGTGTGGGGCTGATGATATTTACTCAGTGTTCGTGTAGCTTCCTGGATACAAAGATTACTTTTTTTCCCCTACAGTTTTCAGGCAGAAAACTCCCTTCTCCAATTTAATCCATATTTAAAATGAATGGATAAAAATGGTTGGACTTGATGATAAGGAGAATGCCAGGATTGGGACGATTCCAATCCCAGCTGTTCCTTGCAGGGACATTAGGTCTCTTTCATGTTTGTTCATTAGAAATCTTCCATCCCTCTCATCCCCCTCATGGTGTTTTCAACTGTAACTCATTACTGAGACTGAGTCACACTAACATCTAGGAGCCACAAGAAAATGAGCTCCTAGCAGATTGCACTTGTCAAGCACTTCACAAGAATGATGGCAACTTTCAATTGAGTTATAAAGATGGCACGGAATGTAATCAATATTTGGATGGCATCAGTTCTTGGATTCTTTAAAGTGAGCCTCTTCCCTGCCTTTCTAGAAAGCAACATCTAATGCCGGGAGAGGATCTGTCTGTTTCCATATCAAAATATGGAGGAATGGCAGGAGAAGTGGCCCTGTTTCTGACATCATGAGGTCACTTAGGTGTCATTACTGCTGTGCTGATGAGCAGCTAAAAAAAACCAGGGCTGTGAAAACATATTACATATGCAGAATTGTAACTTGCTAATTTTTCAGTATGCCAAATGAGCCATCTAGAAGGCACAACAAATTCAGAAATGCCAAAATCATGGGAGGATAATAAGGTGAATTTTCTATAGAAAAAAGGGCAAAAACTTAAGAAGTTGATGGGATATTTAGAAAATAGAACCTCCTTTTGCTTTAGAAATGCTGCTCAATTTGATACATGATTATCTCCTCCTATTAAGAAAAGCAGTGTAAATAACTTATAATTCCAAAGCCCTGGCAAAGCACATGGGTTTAAGATATGCAATAAATGATGTCCATTTCCACAGAAAATAATAGAATGACCTTAGATTCCAGGAAGGCTGTGGGAAGCAGATGTTTTGACTTATGTTGGCTCTGGGACAGACATTTGTGATGATGTCTGCCCCCCACCCCCATCCCTGTTCCCCTGGTACAACTGACATCTAGTCTTGCTGGGCCCCTTCAGGGCCACACTTAGGTGTTTTCTGGGTTAAAGGACCAGACCTTAAATCAGCCTTAGACTTGGCTTGAGCAAATCAAACCATTTAAACCCAGACCAGGAAGCCGGGACTACAAGGAAAGCTCTAAATGCCTCTAATTTCAAACAGGGCTCTGCTTTGAAATCAAACCTTGGCTAAAGACAGGATGTTCTTGTATGAAAAACATAGCAGAACTTTTACTATTCATAAACATATGTTTGGGTCCTAAATACAACAGACCCGTCTCTCAGCTCTTAGCCACAACACCTAGAAAAAATGTCATCCCTAGAGTTATGTAGCAGAGTCACATCTCACCAGTGGGCTCCATGCTGAAGCACAGAGCAAAGATTTCATGAACCAAGTAAGATCTGCTGAAAGTCGACGTTGAAAAAGGGTGCACCTACGGTCCTGGTTACCAGGGAAGAGACCTTAACGCCTGCCGGGCCCACCTTCCTTGTTAGACCTCCGCACTCTGTTCTGAATCAAGTTCTACGCCCACATCCCCGTTAATCACGTGGAAGAGACCACACACTGGGAATCCCGGAATGAAGAGTTTCAACCCATCGTCCACGCGCTTCCAGGTGGGTCCTGAGGCTTCGGCTAATTCTCTACTCGGTCTCCTTTGTCTGTGGATTATACTGGTGCTGGGTTTAGTGATTCCTAAAGTTTTGCCTGCAGCTTATCAAACAGTTGTCTTCCTTTTCTTTCTTTGAAGAAACCACTGTATGACCAGCTTTGTGAAATACCGGAGAAAGCAGAGGGGTGCGGGTGGGGCCAGGACACACACGGGAGTGCTAATCGGAGCCACTGTGCCTCTGGGGCAAAATCGGGAGAAAAAAGACAGAAATTACAAGGATAACGCCGGAAAGATGTGTTAACAGGGGTCCCACCAAACAAGAGAAAACTTCTTTTTCTTCCTGTTTTTCTTTCTTCTTCTGCAGGTAAACAGAACAAAATGCAGCTAGAGAAATTAGAGCAAAGGGTTCCCTGTCCTTCAAGGGACTCGCCTCCCCCCACCCCCACCCGCCTCTATGCCCCCCGCTGCTATCTTCCCGCAGGCCCCAGGGCCAGCAGCGGCCCTGAAACGCTGAGTGTTGTCATTTAGTTTCATTCCTTTGTTCCTTTTCTTCCTCCTGTGTCCCTGCTGAAGACAAAGAGAAACCATTACTCAGATTAAAGATACGGCATCTTCATAGGCTTAGCAAGGATTATCTTTTTAATACAGCCATTTATATGTCTCTCACCCCTCCAACAGACCCAGGAATATCTTATTTGACTATCAAAGAGCTTTAGATATCTGAGCTGTAATTACAGGCACATGATCTCTTTAAAGAGCATATAAATCAATGCTAATAAATGTATGTCACATTGACAAGGAGCTTTAGCTGATGGGGACGCTGAATTCAATTCTTCAAAGTATTCTTTGGAAAACCTAACCTGGAATTAATATGTCCTGCCTTTTTGGGTTCATTCACACACTCTGATTTCTAGGGATCACCATATAAATAATCGTAACAATTCACATAATGCTGATTTGCTAATGTCATTGATGGTTATGCCACCTCTTGAGGCTGTATTTAAGTATTTGCTATGTGAAAACCTTTATTTTATTTTATTTTTTTGAGACAGTCTCACTCTATTGCCCCAGGCTAGAGTGTAATGGCATCATAGTCACAGCAACCTCAAACTTCTGGTCTCAAGCCATCCTCCTGCCTCAGCCTGCAAAGTAGCTGGGATTAGAGGTGCCTACCACAATGCCTGGGAAAATCTTTCTGTTTTTTTAGTACAAATGGCATCTCATTCTTGCTTAGGCTGATCTTGAACTCCTGAGCTCAAGTGATCTTTTGCCTCATTCTCCCAGAGTGCGAGGGTTACAGGTGTGGAATGCTAGTCAGCATCAAAACGAACACAGTACTTGTTCACGGTTCTTTATTACACCATGCTTTGCCTGTGTGAAAACTCTGAAGACAACATTGTGTCCTTGAAGAACCTGTATGGCTGTTTTTTTGATTTCAAAAAATTGAGGAATAATCCACCTACAAGTAAATCTGAAGTTCAGCCTATTTTTGAAACATGCATATATTTAACTTACACCCCCGTCAAGATATAGAACATTCCTATCACCCCAGCAAGTTCTCTGTTATACTACTCCTGTTGAAACCGACAATTGATCTGATTTCTATTGTCACAGATTAGTTTTTCCTGTTCTAGAACTCCCTACAAATGGAATCATACAAATATCTCCTTATTTGTGTCTGGTTCCCTTTGTAACAACACCAGAGCAGCTTTAAGGTAACAAAGTGATGAGCTGTTTTTCCTGCTCCTAGGTGGAAAGTTGTGTAACTTGAACATGCCCAGACAAACCAAGCTTGCTACCATGGGTGGAACCCAAGTTCTTGGACCAAGAAGTGGGGTCTGAATTAAGGAGTGCACACTGCTTGGCAGGACCAGGGTCCAATCAGACAGTGCCTGGCATCACTGCAGGGCAGCATCCAGTGGGATCATGGCTCCTGGCAGCTCCTAATGACAAGATCCCATCAAATCATACCTCCTTACTCTGTGCTTATAAAACCAGACCAACACACTACTTTGGTGACACACTACTTTGGAAACTATCTCCAACATGCTTTTTACTTATGCCAAGTAATTAAAAAGCCCTTGCTAAAAATAATTTGGCTGTGTCTATTGACTCCATATCTGCCAAACCAATAAACCCCTGCACTGGGGAGGTGACACTTTAATTCAGCATAACCATAACATTTCTGAGAATTATTCCTATTGCAGCTTGTTCACAGTAATTTGTTCATTTTTATGCTGACTAGCATTCCATCATGTAGATATATCACTTTTTTTTTTTTAAATCCATTCCTCTGTTGGCAGATATTTGGGTTGTATCAAGTATTGGGTTTTTGTGAATAAAACTACTGTGAATATTCTCATACAAGGCTTTTTTAGATACGAGTTTTCATTTCATTTTTCAGACAAATGCTTGGGAATGGAATTGTTGGGTCAAAGAGATTAGATATGTGCTTAACTTCATAAGAAGTCGCCGTTGTCTAAAGTGGTTGTATCATTTTATGCTCCCATCAGACATGGATGAAAGTTCCAGTTGCTCCATGTCCTTTATAACAGCTGGTGTTGTTAATTTTATAATTCAATACTAGTAGAGGTGCAGTGTGATTCCACTGTGACTCTGTGTGCTACATCTGTCTACCAACAGAGGAGAATAGTTCTTTCTCTCTGAGTATTTTATATGTGTTTCTCTTTGGTTTTCTGCAATGCCTATGGGTAGATTAATTTTAAGTATAAGCCCTTCTTATGACTTAACTTTTCTTTTAACTTAGAATTTGTGACTTTCCTCAGTGTTGATAACTTCTCAGCCATTAGCTTTCAAATGTTGTCTCCGTGTAGAGTTCCTACAGAACATACCACGTCTCGAGTGATCTCTGCCTATCTTTGCATCTCCTATGGTACTTTATTTTTATTTACTTTTTCCATTGGTAATTTTTCATAATGTTGCTCTTTTTTGATTCTCTTATTTTATTTGCTTTATCATTTCACTGTAAATGATAAACAAAATCTCCCTCAAGTTCTCACAGTGCTAATTATCTTACACTTTTACCCATGACTCTCACGAAGGATCATTTCTGTATGTGTTTTGTGAGTCTTAAAATTGTGAACTCAAGTCCAGAAATATGTTTTCTTCTGTAGAAAGAATGTGGTACATTTTCATCTGCCACATATACCAGGGATAAGGTTCTGTCATCAATCAATTATTAAGTTACTTTTTCAGTTTGTTATTACTGCATGACTTTTTTTTTTTTTTTTTTTTTTTGAGACAGAGTCTCATTATGTCACACTCGGTAGAGTGCTGTTGCATCACAGCAAACTCAAACTCTTGGGCTTAAGTGATTCTCAGTTTCCCAAGTAGCTGGGACTACAGGCACCTGCCACAACACCCGGCTATTTTTTGTTTCAATTGTCATTGTTGTTTAGCTGGCCTGGGCCATGATCAAACCTGCCACCTTCGGTGTATGTGGTTGGCGCCGTAACCATGTGCTATGAGTGCCAAGCCACTGCATGACTTTTGATGACATAAATTTTTGTTTCAAATTCATGGTGCACTTGAGGTTTCTATCTTAAGAGCATTTTCCTTTCCCTATGCAGTGCTCTGTGGAGACCCAAGTCTTGTTAATTTCTAGAGATCAGCATATAAATAATTTTATCTGTTTTATAATTTCAGTTGAACCAGAAGTCCCATTTTTATTTGGGACTGGCAGAGATACCAGTCCCAACTCCTTACCTTGAGTGGTTCAAGGTTCCAGATGGGCATTAAAACCCAAGACCCTAGCCATATAGCCTGTGTATACATAACCTGAAGCTCAACATTTATAGGCTGAAAACATCAATAATTTATTACTACTTATGATTCTATTGGCTGGCCTGGACTCAGCTGGGCAGTTTATCTGCTTGAGGTGGCTTACTGTGGGGCAGAGTATCTGCTAGAATCTCCTTCCACGTAGCTGCCTTCATTCTGTACAATAGCCTGATCTTCTTTCAAGTTGTTGCAATTCCAGGAACATGCATTATGGGAGTGTGAAATGGAAGCTACAAAGCCTCTACAGCTCAACCTGTGACACTCAGTGTCCCATGTTTCTCCAGAACCAGAGATTCAGGTTCCATAACTATCTTGACTATCCTCAGAAACTTGTTGAAAATTTTTATATTTGGAAAGTATTCTATTGATCCATTTAACCATCCATTGATCATTATCATTTAGGGTAGCCCTGTCTTTTTTACAAGTATAAATCATACAACACTAAGTATTCTTACATCGTGGCTTTGAACTCTGTAATTCTACAGAATTCTTTGAATTCTGTAATTCATTTCACTACATTTGTCTAATATTCTTGAAGGCTTGATTCTCACAACAAAGTTTCCTTCTTCCTGTTTCCAGCTTATCTCTAAAAACTCAGCTGTATAAATAATTTTGTGAGAATCACTGAAGTTACACAGGCCTCTGTGACAACTGTGTTTAAAAAACTCACTGTTACTTAGAGAGAAGTATGGTGTCATCAAAGAATTTTAAATTGAGAGTATAAAACTTTCAGTTATTAGCCAACTTACCCTGAGCAAGTCACTTATCCTTCTGGGAATTCACTTTGCCTAAACTAATTTTGAACTATAAATTTTGACTTTAACTTACTCATCTGGGTTAACATAGTTTCCATAGGTTTATTTTCAAGTAAAATATCATTTTGACATTAGCTTAGCCAAAGGAAACAGGTTTATTTTATCTGGATATTGATCACACTGTAAAAGAATAGTGTCTGTAAGAAGAAAATGTAGACAGGAAGTCCCTCCTTGGTTGGCAACGAAAGAGTAAAACGTCAGGAAACACGGAGGACCCTGCCTTGAGATGGTTTAGGTTTAGTCTCACTTCATTACTTTGTAATGAAAACTTCCCAGCCATATCATTTCTGCAGCTTAGCAGGATATTTTAAATACATGAGGAAGATTTTAAAAAGTTTAAAAACCATGTTTTTATGAATTTATATTTTGTAGCAGTTCTGCGCTATACATGCATTACACAAATGGCATTATGTTTAGTTTTAAATGATGTTCAAGACCGTTATGGGAAGAACAGATGTGTTCTTTCACACGTCCTCAAACTTTATTCAGTCATGATACTGAAACTCAAAAGTTTCCTGCAACATGGCTTCCTAGGAGAATGTAGAGAACTGTCTAGAATACTCAGGGGTTGCAGGGAGGTGCCCCCAGGTAATACCTCATTTGGATTTAAACTGGATGACCCACAGATTATTATTCCACAGTTTTTTTTTTTTTACAGCTAGATATTTGAAACTAGGAGTTGGAATAGTTATAAGAGTGAGACTGACTGTTTCTAATTCTCACCAGCCTTGAAGATGTGGCAAAGGGTTACAGACTAGTCATCATTTTAGTTAGACTTGAGTTTCCACAGAGGTTTGGAAAGCTGGTCTGAGAAAACTCCTAAACATGAATTTTTATTTTCTTAGGTGTTCCTGAGGCTCCCTCAACTTAGCAAGCCTTCGTGCATATGCACAGTCCAGAGGTCATGGTGTGAGAGAACAGGACCTCCAGTGGGCTTTTCTTTGTCCAAACACACTCAGATGCCTTTATACAGACTCCAGGCAAAGATCTAGTGTTATGCTTAAAGATAGCTACCAAGAAAATCCACAGGTACCTCCTGGAAAAGCAAAAGCAATGCTTCAGAACCATTTGGGGTTGCTGAAATTTCATCACTCCAGGAGGCCAGGGGGTGAGAAGGATGAAGAAAACCTTTTTTGTTGTTGAAACACAGAGAGAGTATTAGGTGATTTGAATATGCTACGGCTTATCTTTCCCCTAAAGATGGCAAATTTCTTGGGGTAACATTTCCCCTTGATAATGCATTATTTGGTTTAAAGATTTCAAAAGCTTAGGCCAAGCCATGCTGCAGGAGTTGGCAAAACCAAAGGAAATCCAATATGTCGCTTGCAAATAGTTCCTATGGCCAGGTGATCAGCTGAAAACCCCAGCACAGGAACACCTTACCTGTTAGTTGATCTTCTTGTTGACTCTCCGTTGGGTCATTTATACTGTCAACCTGACCGTTCATTTCCACTGTAACCAGAGAAGAAAACAAGAAAAGTTAAGTATTTGTTAAACGGAAACCCTTAAACACATTTAAATGGCCTATGATTTGCTACTATCCTGATTTCCTATCATAAACTCTTTCGGGTTTATTTTCATTTATTCAAGATTTCATGGATTTTTGAAACTTTTGGTGAGGGGGAGGACAGGATAGCCTCTTTAGGGAACCGTACAAGAAGATGAAGGTTCATTTGACACCAAATTTTGGGGTTGGCAGTCTGGGTTGTATTTACTGCCATCCTTAGATAAATTCAATGGCCTTAATATGTGTCTAAGAAAACAAAGATAGAAAACAAAACAAAACAGATTACTGACATGCAGAGAGGTAAGCAGCTCCTTCTGAAATGCCAATGTCCACAGGCCTGTTTGGCTTGCCAGGTTTTCAATTTCAAGATGTAAAATAGACTCTGTGAACTTGCCTATGGGTGCAGTGGACTGCCACGGAATGGGAAAGCAAACATCTGACCAGATCACATAGCCATGATAAAACATGCACTTTGACTTGACTGTGGGTATTCTATGTGGACATTTGCATAAAAATAGAATGCATAATTACTTCCATTCTCCAGAAGTAGCCCAGAGCAGGCACAGCATTCACTCTGAAAATTTCCAAGGGTCAGCAGGTTTAATTAGATTGATATTTTTAAAGCACAGGAGCCCACATTATAAGCTGAGGGACTGAATACACAAACAGACAATGGCCAAATCCTACACTGTGTACAACAATAGAACCCTCACTTAAAATCTCTGTGGCAACCAGACTGGGCAACCACACCACAATCTGTGCAGCAGGCAGCTCAAAATGGCCAGAACTCGGTTAGTGACTGTCACTGTCCCTATTTTTCTTCCCCTGCTTCCAACATGGGACTAACCAGGGGAAGACAAATATGTGTCCCAAACCAATCACTTAAGGTGTGCCCCATTCTAGTCAGCCACTTCCAGCTTCCCCAGGCCAACAGCCTCCAGTCAGAGGTGTCCCTTTTATGATCTGTAAAAATTTCCCACTCTCCTGCCTGCCTTGTGATAATGGCCACTGAGTTATAGCAACCTCTGGATAAGAAATCTCTAACTGTCCTCTTTGGGGTGATTTTAAATTATTTGCACAAAACTAAAAACCAATCACTTTTTGTTGTTGTTGTTCAAAGATGAAAGCTTGATTAGCATAAAAAAGTGGCAGGTGCTGCCTTTCACATGCCAAAGAGGCTCAGAAGAGAAAATGACATGATAGGGCAGCCACCCAACTCTCTCCCTGTGAGGACGGTTTTGAAAGCAGGTCTTCTTGTTCTCACCTGCAAACTATCTTGCTTTCTAATAACAGTGTGAACTCATTTTAAGCCCCAAATATAACTAGCCAGATGCAGCGACTCTCTCTATGCAGAGATATGCATGTGTGCACTGCCCCTTCTGGTCCACAGTTTTTGTACTTTCAGGTCACCCATCTCGGTGCTATGTGTGCAGGACACAACACAGGGGAGCACTGCTTTTCTGTTTCTTCTTCCAACCGAGGGATGTTGGTTCCAAAACCTAATAATGAATGTTTCTATCAGAAGAGTTCCACGTGGATCAGGTATATTTGGGAAAACCAAGTTTAAACCATGTTAAACATGATTCTTTACTCCCGAGGCTTCTGAGAGCATCCATAATCTTCTTCTGTGGACAGGAAATCTCCAAGTGAAGACTAAAACTCTCAGTATTTCTCACATTTATGCCCCTTTTATTCAAGGAACATTTTATGGGCCTGATAGTTCTCAGAATATGTTTTGTACAGAACTATTAAGAATGATGTCCATAGTGTCATGACCAGCTGATTGACATGTGGTAGCCTTTAATGGCTGGGTCTGGGGTTTCAAAAACTTCTCTTAGGTAATGCATGCCCATGAGTAAGACATCAGTTTGTGCAGTGGAAGCAGAAAGGTTTGTAAAGAAGGGAGGCGATTGGGTGATGGTGAGCCTACTGGAGGGTGGAGTACCTGCTATGGGAAGCACTATTTAAAATCTCCAAATAACATGACTAAGTCTGCCCGAATTTTTTCCAAGGTCATTATCAACTCAAAGATAAGCCAGACAGCAAAATATTTAAGTTGATCAGCTGACCAATTCTGGTTGTCCTAATCCCTATGGACCAGTGAGTCAAGTACTGATATTGGTTCCTGTGGGCTCAATGAGTTGTTTTTCTGATTCAAGTAATGGCATTTCAAAGTGCTTTTGACATTGTTCTGCAAGGGAAGGAGGATATAGTATTCCTGAGGCTCTTTAGATGCCTTCAAAATTAGATGTGAATTTTTAAATTCATCTTTTTAAAAGGTTTTTGTCAATTTATTTTGATACAGCGAGGTGAAATGACAAAGGCATGAGAACAATCTTAGCCCAAACTTGCCCTAGGGCACCTGGAATGCCCAGTGGAGCAGGAGTATCAGTGGAGCGAGTGTCTTCTGTAGAAGTGCTGCTTCCAAAATCCATCAGTGGATCTTAGTTTGCTTTGGCCTTGCTGTTACCTCCTGAGGCCTCTGGGTTGTGAGGCATGATTAAATCCCTGCACATGCTATTTTGAAATAGCTAGAGACAGTTAAAAAAAAAAACAAAAACTATTTTTATTAGTTTTAGTAGAAAATAGTTTTTGAAATTTACCTTGTTCTAACCCAATATGTTGATCTGTAGAACAGATAGCTCCCTTAATCCTAGATTACACATAGAAAACGTGTGAGATTTGTAGTTTGCATGAGCTCAAATGGCTCAGAACCTTACCGTCCGGACCTGTCATGTTCTCTGTGTCACTGGAGCCTTCCCTTTTTCCAGGCACTGTGGGTGTGTCCTCGCCTTGAGCTGAAAGAGGGAAAGACACAGAGCCTGATTAATAGAGAATTACAGCAGCTCCAGGGCCAATTGCTCTGGCCCTCTGCTGTCCTGTTAAATTTGAAAATACTCTTGGGATTCAACTTCTTTTGTACAAAAATTTAAAGGCAGAAATAGTGGGTCTAGTTGCTAAAGTATTTTAGTGCTGTCTTTTAAGTTCTCTTTAATTTGTGAGATAATCACATATATGCATATATAATTTCTCAAATTAGAAATCTGTTAGTGTGAAAACAAAAAAACTTGGTTTTATCAGAACAACCTACAATTTAAATTTAGGGACGTGTGCAAGTGTGAGACAGAGAGAGAGAAAGAGTGTGTGTTTCTGTAGTTTATCCCTGGAAGAGGAAAAAAAAAAGCATATTTTGCCTTAAGCATGCCTGAAGGATTAATGTTCCCAGTGGTGAAAGTTTCGGTTTAAGTACAAATGAATGGTTTAGGAGACCTTCTTAGGAGACCTCCTCACAGGATGCCATTTTGGATTGCAGGGATTCCAGTCCTTAGACTGTTTTCTATTTGCACAACCTCACATACCTTTGCTGTGGTTGAAGCTTAAAAGTCACATCCCAAAGGGAGGCGAGATAGGGTTGTTTCTGCAGAACAACCAAATATACAAAAAGAAACCAGTGGGGTCTCTTGCTGACCTCCCACGTTTGTATGCTACTGTTTCATATACTAGGAAGACAATTGTGTTTCATATTGTCAGAAATTTTCTAGATATTCAAGGGACAGTAATCTCTTATTTCTTAGTTAAATATCTATTACGCATTCACAACTTGAAGAGCAAGGCTCAAAATATTTTTTTCAAATGGAAAGGCCAAAGGACTCTTGTACAGAATATATAAAGACATAAATATACTAAATTATTTTAGTGTATTTATACTAAATATATATCCCTATTAGAAAGATAGGGAACCTGGTAGAAAATGGACAAGACAGGGCAGTGCCTGTGGCTCAGGGGAGTGGGGCACCGGCCCCATGTACTGGAAGTGGCAGGTTCAAACCTGGCGCTGGCCAAAAATTGCAAAAAAAAAAAAAGAAAATGCACAAGACACAGACATGTCACAAAAGAGGGTATCCTGGCTAGTCATTTAGTTTTTTGGAATGACTTTTGCCAAATCTCAAGGCTTTTTCACAACAAAATGACTGTAAAATGTTCTGACTCCTTGTCCAACTCTCTGGGACATCATCAGAACCAATTAAAACATAACATTATTATTATTTTAATAAGAAATTATTACCATGGAAGAGAAATTAATAGATCTAACTCTGTATAAACATTACTTCCTTGACTTTTTTTTTAGTGTCCTTTTGATTAGGACAGGCTCTACAAGGGTCTGTGGCTGATTCCTAAAGCACATCTTTGGCAAAGTCATTACTATCAGTGGTAATAACCCTGATGACATGACCATGGAGAAAGCCTTCTGGCATCACTGAGAACTTTCTCTCTCATGGCCTGAAGCTAGTCTGTTAAACGCTCAGTGAAAAAGAAGGGTACAAATCACTTCCAAGAGCTAGGTAAGAAGGGAAGGAAAAGTCAGAGAAAGCAAAATAAAAAGGCAGAGAGGACAGCAAACACTTAAAGTGCCTGTGTTTATGCTTTTAACCTCATTATTGTGCAAGGGAATGTGTAAGAAGTCATGGACTGTGCCACTGTACTGACATGGATTAACACAAAACACAATGGCAGGTTTAAGATCTATGATGGAGAGAGGCGAGCAGAAATCAAAGCTGTAGCGCTGAATACATCCTTGGGGCAGAGGAAGGCGTCGTCTGTGAGGTCTGCTTTTGAAGATGCTGAAGCTGTGCTTGGGAGGCACTATTTGTCTGTTCAATCTCAGGGGGGCCGGTAACATGTGAGTGCATGCACATGCCTGTGGTCTGGGTCTGTGACTGTGCAGTAGCACGTTTATGTGACTTTGAATGCGCACGCATGTGTGTCACTGTGCGTGTGTGTTGTTTGCTGGGAGTGAAGGAAAGAGATGCCAGACGTTTGTTATTCTGACATACATGTGGAACTGGTATCATCCTAAAGGCTTCTGCACTGCCGGGCAATGCAACTCCGTGCCCCAGAGAAATGAGCTCATTTCACACAGATAACAGAATCTGAGCAAAACAAAAATTGCCTCTACAGCCTATTTATTCCAGTTTGCCCATCTCTCCCTCCATTTTGATTGCTGCTGTTTGGAACAGAAACAAGAGGTACATTTTGGGATTTTTTTTCAAGAGTCCTAGATGCTGAAATAGAAAAAGTCTGGGACATCCAGCGTCCTTTTCATTTTCACTTACCAACTGCAGCTGTGCTTTTTAAAGCCATGATTCTAGTAACCTTTTGTAGGTTAGAGGCGTTACATAAAATATAATAAATGAAGCCAATCTCATGGCAGAAGATGACGAGAATGCATACAGAAGATTTTTTAAGACATAAACATGGAGAGATGTTGTGGAATTTTCCATGATTTTATTTTGAGATCTGTGTTGACAGTAAATCCCAAACAACAAATAGGATTACAAATAATTATTTCTCAGAATCTGTAGTCACATAGGTGATGAGGCAGGTATAGAGAGCAGGGCCTTCCCGTTTGTTTTGATTAAAGTGGTATTGACCTACTTAAAACATTCTTGAAACACTTTGACAACTTTCTCCATACCCATGTTCCAACTCCTCTATTGATGCAATGGATTAGATAATGGTTCAGAAATGTTCACTTCCTACCTGCCACCCCCTGGGAATCTACTTGACATTGGGCATGGCCTGGAAATCTGCTGTGGCCAGTGGGATATTAGCAGAGTGAGTCAAGTAGAGACTTGGAATTTCCTTTTCCCTGTTCTCTCTTACCTTTTACCCCAAGAAGAGCATACTTTTAGGGGGCAGCTGGTCCAAGGAATATGAGTCTAGGGTTCAACTCATAGCTTGACGTTGGCCCAGGCTACTTATAGGTGATCCTAATACACACAAGCAAAAGAATACACTCTTGTTCTAAAGCCCCAAAGTTGAAGATGGTTTGACGTGCCGCATTACTGTGGCAATAGCTAACAAACTTAATAACATATTTTTAATTGATTAAGTCCTAAAATTGTTTCTTTTGGGGTTAATTTTTTGTTTTTAATTATGAAATTTAGGGTGTCCTAAACATTGCCCCTGAAATCACCATACATAGGGAAAATGAGAAATTGTTGCTAAATATACCTCTGTTTACAAAATATATATTGCAAAATTTCAGAAAATATTTACCAAATATTCTGTACATGTTGGCCACCTCTATGTAAGATTTTATAATGGATACTTTGCAAATAAATGTGCATTTAGCTACAATTTCCCATTTTTCCTGAGGCAAATTTTGGGACACCCTGGTTGTCTATATTTACAGGGTACATGTGATGTTTTGCTACCGGTATATAATGTGAATTAGTCAAATCAGGGTATCTGTCATCTCAGGCGTTTATCATGTCTTGTGTTAGGGACATTCTTCTTCTACTCTTTTCGTTATGTTAAAGAACACCCTAAGTTATTGTTAACTACTGTCACTTTATTGTGGTATCAAATATTGCTCATCCTACCTGTGTTTTCCCACTCGTTAACCATCCCACTTCATTTGCCCTTGTGTGCCACCCTTCCCAGCCTCTGGTAGCTGTCATTTTACTCTATCTCCATGAGATCAATTGTTTTTAATATTTAGCTCCCACATATGTTTGAGATTTGTTTTGCTGTGCTTGGCTTATTTCACTTGACATGAAGTTGTCTAGTTTCATCAGTGTTATTGTAAATGGCATAATTTCATTCCTTATTTTGGCTGTTAGGGTGCCACAATTTCTTTATCCGTTCATCTGTTGATTAGGCTGATTCCATACCTTGGCTATTGTGAATAGTGCTGCATTAAATATGGGAGTCAGGTGTATTTTCAACACACTGATTTCCCTTCCTTTGGATACATACCAACCATGGGCTTGCTGGGTCACGTGGGAGTTCTATTTTCAGTTTTTTGAGAAACCTCCGTAGTGTTCTCCATAGCTGTTGCACTGATTTACATGCCCACCAACAAGGGCATCTTTCTTCACATCATTATTGCCTATTTATAAAGGCCATTTTAACTGGGGTGGAAGATGATCTCACCATAGTTTTGACCCATTTCTATGATGACTAATGATGTTGAGCATTTTTTCATATACCTATTGGCCATTTATATGCCTTCTTTTGAAAAATGTCTATTCAGATTATTTTTTTCCTATTGAGTTGTTGGCACTCCTTAAATATTCTAGTTATTATTTCCATGTCAGATGGGTACTTTGCAAATATTTTCTTCCATGCTGTGGGTGTCTCTTCACTTTGTTGATTTATTTGCTGTGCAGAAGCTGTTTAGCTTGTTGTGATCCCATTTGTCAAATTTTGCTTTGGTCGCCTGTGCATTGGTATTACTCAAGAGGTCCTTGCCTGAACAAATTTCCTGAGCCATTTTCCCAGTGTTTTTTTCAATAGTTACATAGTTCCCAGTCTTAGGTTTGAGTCTTTACTCCATTTTGATTTGATTTTTGTATATGATAACAGATAAGAATCTCGTTTCATTCTGCAAATAGATATCCAGTTTTCCCAACACTATTTACTAAAAAGACTGTCCTTTCCCTTGTATATTCTTGGCAATTTTGCCAAAGATACATTCACTATAGATGTCTGGGTTATTTTTGGGTTTCTATTCTGTTCCATTGGTCTATATGTCTTTTTATGCTGGCACTGTGCTGATTTGGTTACTACAGCTCTATGGTATAATTTGAAGTCAGGGAATGTGATTCTTCCAGTATTGTTCTTTTTGCTCAAGATGGCTTGGGCTATTCTGAGTCTTTTGTGGTTCCATTTAAATTTTAGGATTATTCTTTCTATTTCTGTGAATAATGTCATTGGTATTTTGATGAGGATTGCATTGAATCTATAGATTACTTTGGGCAGTATTGGTATTTTATCAGTTCTTTCAATCCAT